TTCCCAACAAAAACTGAACCAAGATTTTTACCACAGCCCAGGAATTGTGGCCATTATTCAGCGTCTTAGAGATTATCTACTATACAAGTATTTTGACAAAGGAAACTTCAGACTCCTTGCTATCGGTCAACCATTTGAAAACACCACACGTAAATTTGGAGATAAAGAAAATTCTAAGAACAATCAATCTTGCTGTAAATTTGCTTCTCTCATTCAATATATCATTTACAGATTTACAAGGTACATATATATACACTTCAAAGGAGGAAAATGACAAATTCAGTTACAAATTAAAATAAAGAATATTCTTCTAAAAAATCCATGTGCAAGCCAAACGGATTATTGAGCACCTAATCTTCTAGCATCTTTTATTGCTCAATCAACAACCCAAGCTGATGCTTATGAAGCTGGAATAGATGACAAGGCTACCAGCTCACTTTCTTTTACCTTCTCCAGCTTGAACTTCATCTCCAACAACCCCCCGCAAGATGGAGAGTAGATGTTTGCTACTACCATCTTGATCATATGAAGATGGAAACATGTAGAATTCAATACCTTAGTTAGAATGTCTGTAACTTGAGAACTAGTTTGCACATACTCAGTGACAATTTTCCCAGCATGTATCTTGTCTCTAATGAGATGACAATCTATCTCTACATGTTTAGTTCTCTCGTGAAAGATGGGGTTTGTGGCAATGTAGATGGCTGACTTATTATTAATATACAGGCTGGCTGCTTGAGTGTGTTCAATATGTAAGTCTGTGAATAGGTATCTTGACCAGGTTAATTCACAACAAACACTTGCCATTACTCTATACTCTACCTTAGAGGATGACTGTGATATGACACTTTGCTTCTTTGACTTCCGGAGAGTAGAGATGACCTGATAAATACAAAATAGCCTATTACTAATTTCCTAGTATCTGGATAGCTCTCCTAGTCTGAATCTGATTATCTCTTTAGCTACAGTTCAGAGGTAGATGAGTAGGATAATACCTATCCTTGAGCTCTTTTAAGATATCTTATCACTTTATGTGCTGCATTGAGGTGGGGTATCCTTGGTTGATCCATGTACTGACTTAGAAGCTGGATCGAGTAAGAAATATCTAGCCTAGTTATGGTCATATACAATAAGCCCCCTATCAGTCGCATACAGATAGATGGATCATGTAGTAACTCACCTTCCCCTTTGGATAATTTTAGGTTTTGATCAAGACGTACTTTAGCATAAGCTGATCATATGGTCCCTGAATCTGCTAGAATATCAAGCGCATATTTTCTTTCACAAATGTGTATCCCCTCCTTTGATCTAGCCACTTCAATACCTAGGAAATATTTCAGCTTTCACAAGTCTTTGATTTTGAATTGTGCATCAAGTGATGCTTTGAGATTGTTGATGGTCTCCAAACAATTTCTAGCCATAATTATATCATCAACATAGACTAAAACGTCTATGAAAGAGTCTTGAGTGGATTTAACAAACAAGTTGTAATCAGATTTGGACTGAGTGAAGCCTTGTTGAAGAATGAAACTGGATAGCTTCGAATGCCATTGTTGCGAAGCTTGTTTGAGTCCATACAAGCTTTTGTGAAGCCTCCATACCTTTGAAGCTGCTACATTATCATAACCTGGTGGCAACTCCATAAATACCTCTTCATCTAAATATCCATACAAGAAGGTATTGTTCACATCTAGTTGATATATGAACTAACCCTCCATGACTGCAATGGCAAGTAAGGTCCGAATAGTTACAGGTTTTGCCATTGGGGAGAAGGTTTCATGATGCAGCCTATTGCTTTCTTGTTAGGTGGAAAATCAACTACAGCCCATGTATCATTCAACTCAAGAGCCATAATCTCACTCTTCATGGACTCATGCCATTCAGGGGACTTGATAGCTTCTTGGTATGTTTGTGGTTCACTATGTGTGGTGATAGAAGAGATAAACGCTTTATGAAGTGTAGACAATTTATCACATGATATAGTGCAGTTAAGAGGGTAAGGATTACCTGAAGAGATAGAAGTAGTTTCCTTGTCCAATGTCTGCAATGGGGAAAATAAGGTGGCCTATTGACATATAAAATATTGCAGTCTTGTCGGAGCATTTCTAATTCTGGTGGATCTTCTGGGTAAATGAAGTGTGGTTTGATTGTTATCAGGTTTATATTGGCTTGGTTGCTATGTGGCTGAATCAATTTGAGTATGGGTTTGTTCTATGGGTTCTGTAGGATCAGGAGATTGATCAGATTGGTTTTCTAATTCTTTGAAAAAATCAGTTAGGACAGCAATGATAGGATTTTGTGGGAATCATAGATCTATAGGATTTGGATTCGTGATTTTAGCCTCTTTATATGGAAAGACTGTCTCATAGAACGTAACATTTCTTGATATGAATACCTTATTTGTTTCCAAATCAAGAAGTTTGTAGCCTTTAATATTAAAGGGATAGCCGAAGAAAATGTACTTCCTTGCTCTAGAGTCAAACTTGTACCTTCCATTCATGAGAGTTCTGGAATATACAAGGCATCCAAAGACTTTAAGATGGGAGTATGCAGGTTTAGTTTGAAAGAGCATATCAAACGGACTTTTATGGTCTAAAACTACTAACGGAGTTCTGTTAGTTAAATACACACAGTTAATACACAGTCATTCCAATATTTTAATGGAATTCTACTTTGAAACCTCAGAGAGCTTGCAACGTTTAGTATATACTAGTGCTTTCTCTCAACAATGGCATTTTGTTGAGGGGTTTCAACACATGTGTTTTGATGAATGATATCCCTTTCAAAACTGATGTTCAAAAGCAAGGGCAGAATGAGATGGATGTCCCATTTTGTAATGCCATATATTAAACTTATCTTTGTCACTAATAGCAGAGGTTGTAATAGAAAATGCTCTAGCTAAACGACTCAAGCTTTCTTGGAGGGCCATAGGAGAGACTGCTATTGATAGGATATGGTAGAGGCCAAACCTTACTTCACCCATTCTAGTCGTTGTCCAAGTCGAAAGGTCCTGTATAAAATACACATCAGAAAGAAAAACAACACAGCTATTTAGTGCTTGAGTGAGTCTTTTAATAGATATTAGATTAAAAGAGAATGAAGGGACACACAAAATGTCTTGAAGAGTCAAAGTGTCTGTGATGTGTACAGTGCCAATACTAGTTACAAGGACAGTAGCTCCATTTTCTAAGCTTACTGAGCAAGTGGATTGAGATTGGATAAAAGAGAAATATGTTGGGTTGCAAATTATATGATATGTTACCCTTGTGTCCAGAATCCAGGGGGCTGCAGCATTCTTGGTTTTTCCAGGATTAAGAGTAGATGAGAAATGTGATATACCAGAAATTTTAGGAAGAGCATTGTCTAAATCTGTAGCAGCAATGCTTTGAACTTGGCTTGTTAAAGGAGTTAGGCTTTGATTTGCTGAGGATTTGAGAATGGCCATCAAGTGAGAGTTTTCCTCTTGAGTGAGAGATACATTTGGCTTGTTTATCTGCTGTTCCTAACAAATGGAAGCCTGATTTGCTATTGGCGTGAATCTGTTTCTTCCTTCATATTTGTAGTCTAGTGGTAGCAATGTAGCTTGAAGCACTTACTAGCAGTGTGTCCTGGCTTTTTGTAGTGGGAACATATAGGCTTGTTTGGATCCTTGAGGCATCTCTAAAGTGAATGCTCTGCAACCTTACAATAGGTACAATAATATCTATCCTTTCTCTATGAATTTTGTTTGTCATTTTCTCTAAAATTTCCCTTTGCTAGTAATGCCATTGCCTCGTTGATGGAACCATCATTCGAGATTTCCCTTCTTTTCTCTTCTTGTTGGATAATAGCATAGACTTCATTCAAGGATGGAAAGGGCTTGTTCAAGAAAACTTGAGCTTTAATGGCATTATAGGATTCATCTAATCCCATCAAGAACTTCATCACCCAATCACGATTCTAGTTCTCAACTACTACTTTTAGACCTCAACATGAGCAACTAGGAATGGATTCATAATTCAGCAATTCATCAAGCAAGGTTTTGAACTTCGAGAAATACACACTTACAGCTTCCTAATTTTGGGTTAATGTAGTGATAGTTTGCTTGACCTCAAAGATCCTGGGAGCATTCTGCCGAGCAAAACGTTGCTCCAACTCCTGCCATAACTGATGAGCAATCTCAGCGTATGTAGTGCTACATTTTATGTCTACAGCCATGGTGTTTTGGAGTCGAGTCATGACAATGTCATTGTACCTGAGCCAGTGTTCCATCAACGGATCATTTGGTCCTGAAGCTCATGGATGCTTCCACAAGCTTGTTCTTTATCCTGAGGGCTCTTCTCATCGACCTGGCCCAGGAATGGTAGTTGTTTGCATCAAGGACATGGGTAACCAGAATGGCTCTAGTTCCATCATTGTTGCCAATGTAATAAGGGTTGCCGAAATGCGTTGGATCATGAATTGTTGAATTATCATTTTGAGTTTGATTGTTGTTTACTGGAAGGTTTGAGGATTGATTGTCTGTTTCAGCCATTTAGTCTTCGATACCATGTAAATTTGGAGATAAAGAAAATTCTAAGAACAATCAATCTTGCTGTAAATTTTCTTTTCTCATTCCATATATCATTTATAGATTTACAAGGTATATATATATATCACACACACACACTTCAAAGGAGGAAAATGAGGAATTAATTACAAATTAAAACAAAGAATATTCTCCTAACAAATCCATGTGCAAGCCAAATGGATTATTGAACACCTAATCTTCTAGCATCTTCTATTGCTCAATCAGCAACCCAAGCTGATGCTCATGAAGCTAGAATAGATGACAAGGCTGCCGCTCACTTTCTTTTACCTTCTCCAGCTTGTGCTTCATCTTCCAACACCACATAGCACGTTAACGAGGAGCAAATGAAAAGTACGCTTATAACAACTGCCTACTGGAAAATTACCTTTAAAGCCATATCCTCGGAGACTCCTGATCTATACCGAATTGCACTTTCCAATGAGCAGCTACCTCATTTGGTGATGAAATTAGCACTACATAGACTAGATAATTGCAGGAGAACATCAGCCATCATTCCACTATCCCAACCATCGGTTCCTAGTACATCAATTTGTAGTATTTCATCATCGGGTGAATATTCTGCAACAAAAGAGATACACTGAAATAATGCTAAAAGCCTTTCTAATGGGAAAGTTCCGGGCACTTTCATTAGTGATTCTTGATCTTTACTTTCCTTCTTCTCCATTGATTTCTCAGAGCTCCTGAGTAGCATAACCAGAAGAAAATATAATAAATTACTTTCTTACTTTTTGATGCATACCAATATCTAGCAAACCAATTTATGTATCAATATCCATCATCCAACATCATAGAAGAGCAAATTACACGTCTGATTATCGACTATGGATGTGGCTGGTTTTTTAGCAAGAATAAAACCCAACTATATCACTATCTAATTTTATTACCTCCTTTATTTAGCTTTATCATATCTTTTATTTTGCTTGTATCTTATATAAAGTAGTGCAAAATCATGGTAATAATCAGCTTGATTTGAATTTCATAAAAATATTGTTGAGATTTTCGTATCAATTGTTCAGTATTCAATCTTACATCAATGAGCATCGGATTATCGAATTCCCAGGTATTCCTAGAATCAACGGGGTCTTTGAATGTTATCTTCGTTTCTAACGCGCTTTTGCCTCAGTCACGTTTGCTTTTAATTAGAGCTAGACAAAACTCCCGAACCAAACTGAACCGAACCGAACCGATCGGCTCTTCATAAGTTAAATACCCGAACGTGTATTTAAATCGAGAACCTGTGGATTTACTTTGGTTCTCGGTTCAGACTAAGAACTAAAGATCCAAATAAGAACCGAATTAAATAATTTTTTATATTGAATTATTAAATTATTTTAATTTTTCTAAATAAATTAGCAAATTAACCAATTTTGTGATTAATGCTCTAACTCTCAAGTCAAGTCTATGCCTAGCTAGCCCATCCTAACCTAATTTCTAAATTCAATTTTTTTAATTTTTTTGGCCCAGTTATTAATTTCATTGTTAGCCCAAGATCTAAGTCTATTTAAATTTTTACCCTTCTCTTTCCAATTTTATACTTTCATTCGGTAAGCATAGATCCACTAACCTCAAATCATTTGATAAATTGAAAGCCTACATCTACAGGCCCAAATTGAAGCCGTCGATTGCCGAGTCTGACTTCCCATCTCTAGCTGTCCATCGAAGCTACAAATGAACATATCATTAATTGTATTTATGTAGTGTTATTGTAATTGTTAAAAAATCAATTATGGTATAGAACAAAACAGAACTAAACGAAACCGAACACGGACAGTTCTATAATTATATTTGGACCCGACGGTTCCATTTATTAAATACCCAAAAATTTTGGTTCGTTTCGGTTCTCTTCAGTAAAACCGAACTGAACCGGACTATGTCCAGCCCTATTTCTAATTTTTAGGCAAATAATATATCATACCAGTAATGTAATGGCAGCAAAAGGCAGCGCTATAAATCTAAGAAAATTTTGCAAAAGCAAAACAAGGATAATTTTTTGGGGACAAACAAGAGACACAAGTTACAGCCTCACATGTATCAAAATAAGATAATATACCAAGTTTGCTAATAACTTACTTTCTCTTTCTTTTCCGATTGCCAAATCCTCCAATTGAATCAAAGGGCGAGGCATCAAGTAGTTTTCTCTTTATATCTTCATTGGGAGTAATCCCCGAATCATCTAGCGGTTCACAATATTTCTTAAATAATAGTGAAATAGCAGTAGTTACATCATCAACACTCCTTGTGATTAGACAGAAAGGTCTCAACACTACACTGTTTAACAGGAAACCTAATAAAAATAAAGTTAGCTTTGACTGAACATTATGATAAAGGTAAATGACAGTTCGAGAACAATTAAAGAAAAACTAGTGTGGAACTTACTCAAGAAAAAAAGGAATATAACTTGGGATTTGATTGGTTTTTCATGAATATCAGGCGCATATCATCTTCAGTGTAATCAGGAAAATAAACATGGAGAGTCTCAATATAACCTGTGTCTGAGTGATACGTAACAAGTGAGGTTTTACTTATGAAAATCAAACCCACCTCAGGTATTTTCGGAATATCATACAAGTTAAATAAAAAGGGCAACACATTCGAACTCTTATCTCATTCTCTAACGTGCTCTAAATTATCAATTATCAAATAAATCATCTTCCCATTAACTTGCGAAGCCGATTTCTTGGAGTTAGATTTCGCCAGATCACCTTTGAGCCTGTCTATAAAAGTACGCATAGCATCATGTAAAAGATTTACAAAATCAGAGGGCTTTTCACAGCGCTTTGCACTTGAATATCCATCATTTTCATTCTTCCTAAGAAGTAAAAGCTGGTTCAAGATAGATTCAAATAGTATCCTGGGATTGTAGCAGGTGATGCAATTGCTATAAATAAATGGGCACTTCATGTGCTTGAAAATCTCAAGTATCGTGCTTATTTTGCCCGATGAAGCATCTCCATAGACAAATAATGGAACCATAGGAAAATTCAAAGGGCACAAAAGCTTGATCAATTCAAGAATTTGCACATGCCTATGGGGAAAAGAATTAATCAACTCTTCGAGAGTTAGAGGTTCATCACCGAGCACAATGTCATTTACAGTCAAAGATTGTGTATTGCTAATGACTTTTGAAACCTCGCCTACAGTTTTAGAATTTGGGGTAGTAGAAGAGTGATGAACTTTGTGTGACACTTTTGTTGATATAGAGTCACATTTTGATCAACCAAATTGTCACACGTTTTTTGTAATGGTCTTGCACTTATTATTGTGATTTGTTAGACTAGTTTAGTCCTACTACAAGTTAGTGTAATTGACAAAGTATGATGTAGTGGTAGTAGGCAGAAAAGTGGATGGAATTAGTGGTGGCAATGGGCCTAGCCGAGCCGGCTCGGCCCATTGACGAACGAGCTCGGCTCGTGTTCGCACGAGCCGAGCTCGTGGCTCGTCGGCAACGAGCCGAGCGCGAGCTCGGCTCGTTGCCGTTTGGGCGAGCTCGGCTCGCGCCCGAGCTCGCCCAAAGCGGGCGGCTCGGCGAGCCGAGCTTAAGCTCGGCTCGCCGGCTCGCCCT